TGGGTGTCTGAGGCTGTTTCTCAACAGGCGTGGGACGCCACCTCCTTCTCCCCTGAGGGCTGCTTGGTGGTTTCCGACTGCTGACCGTGGGCTAGTGGCCCAGTCTGTAAGTCATGTCAGGAACCCACTGGGGCCCCAGTACTTCTTCCACTGAGAGTCCTTTATTTAAATGAATGAAATACAACTAAAGGCCCCCCAAACACACCCCATTAAGTTAACTCTTGTTTTCTTCCATGGCCTCAATAAAAATACTAACCAACTCAGAAGTACAGATGTTTATGTTTAGTAGCGCGTTTAAAGACTGGCCAGTGTGCTGGGGCTGGGGGTTAACTTAACACTGTATTAAATCATCTTTCAGTTTACTATTATTTCAATACCAAACCAATTGCAGGAGAAACTTGAGAAACTACCGGTCAATGTTTTCAACTTCAACACTCTAATCATGACTACTTTACAGGTGCTATTTCTAGTGAATGATATTTAAACAACTTTATTTTCCAAAGCGTAGATTTCTGTTTCATATTTTTAAAATAAAACTTTTTAATTAGTTTGAATTTGAATTCATGTAAGAGACATTAGGTCCAGCCCATTTAAATCAGGGGCCTGGAGAATTTAAGTGAGCTTTATAATTAGGATTCAAGAAAGATTTAAAAATAACCATATTTCACACATAATTCATGGTATTTTAAAAATGGCTCTAAAAGCAAGTGCTTAACGGCAAAATCAACCACCAGCATAGTCCAGGCCTGAGAGGAGCAAGAACCAGTATTTAAGGCGCCACACTCCGGTCCGGTGGAGTAACCTAGCACTGCAGTTTAGTGAATCCAGCTGGGCAGGTTAGGGGGCCAGACAGCACAGGGCCCATGACACCCAAGGGCACCCTCATAGGCAACCACACCAAGACCAGATTGCTTGAGAAGGGAAGTGGCTTCCACAGAATCTGTTACTTGGGAAGACCTATCAGTAGTTCTTCATCTTATCTGAACATCAAGTCCCACAGTGGAACCAATACTAGCTTTTGTTATAATTCTTTTGATATAGTTCATCTGGGGGGGGGGGTCCCCTCACCTAGCTTACCAAGCTTCATTCTAATGGCTTTGTCTGGGGATGGAGAGAATAGAGATGTCACTCAAGACATCCAAAAGAAATGTGTCTTTTTGTTCAAATCAGAGATTATTTCAAAACCATGAAAAGATTTCTCGGTAGTTTCTAGGATCCTCTTAGAAAGGTGGTTAATGGTGACTAAGAAATCCATAGTTTTCCGTGGCAAAAATTCTTAATTGTACAGCTCAGAAAGCAAAGACACAAAATCAGGCCTGGTAAGCAAAGACGCCTATAAAATCAGTGTGGGCATGGAAGAAGCACATCAGCCGGTATGACAATGAGGTGTCGAAGGGATCAAGTATCAGGCATCAAAGAACAAAAAACCTTATCATTGTGAATGAGGGGAAGTGCGGAGTGGGGACCTAAGACCCATCTGAAGGCAACTGGACATCGTCTTACAGAAGGGTCGTGGGGAGGAGAGGAGCCAGTCAGGGTGTGGGTGTAGCAAAGATGAAGCATACGACTTTCCTCTAGTTCCTAAATGCTTCCTCCCTACTCCACTACCATGATCCCAATTCTAACTTACAAATCTGGCTAGACCAGAGGGTGTACACTGGTACAGATAGGAACCAGAAACACAGGGAATCCAGGACAGATGATCCCTTCAGGACCAGTGGTGAGAGTGGCGATACCGGAAGGGTGGGGAGGAAAGGGGGAACTGATTACAAGGATCTACATATAACCTCCTCCCAGGGGGGAGACGTCGGACAGTGTAAGATATGGCAAAATAATAATAATAATTTATAAATTATCAAGGGTTCATGAGGGAAGGGGAGTGGGGAGGGAGGGGTATAAAAGAGGAGCTGATATCAAGGGCTCAAGTAGAAAGCAAATGTTTTGAGAATGATGATGGCAACAAATGTACGAATGTGCTTGACAGAATGGATGGATGGATGGATTGTGGTAAGAGCTGTATGAGCCCCCAATAAAATGGTTTAAAAAAAAGAAAGTAAAAAAAGATTGAACCAGGGAAGGTGAGGGAATTTTGGGAGCAAACAAGGAAATGCAGGAAGGGAGAGGGAGCACTAGAACTGGCTGTGATGACATATGTACACTCATTCTAAAAGCACTTTAACCATGAAAAACAAACAAACAGGATGGCTTGGGTCAGACACAACTTAATCTTCAAAGTGACATTCTTGCTTTTTAAAATGGGTCTTCATGGGAGGCGGGAGGCTGGAGGAAAATGGGGAAGCCAATAATAATGAGTACGGAAATGAAGAAACTGTTCTAAAACTGATTGTAGTGTGATTGTACAACTCTTCTTGAAGTGGTTGAATTATTGAATTGTATTTTATGTAATTTATATGGCAATGAAATTATTTGGAAAAAAGCAATCACTGTGGGTACCTGTCAGGAGAGGTCAAGAGTTCGGACAGTTCCATACCTTCTGTACGCATCTTGAGACACAGGCAGAAATCATGGTTGTGGAGGTACCGGGATGAACACTCAGTGAATGTAAAGTAATTGCCACATCTTGAACTGGAGACCCGAGCAATGGTCCTGGGCAATGAAAACGAAACGTGTGAAGGCTTCGATGTGCAGAGAGGAGTAACTGAGAAGTGACAGCAGAGACAGGGGGAGTGGACTGAAATAATGCATAACACAGGGAGCAGGGGGTGCAGCCCTCTTCCTGCTTTCGGGAACGACGGCGGCAGAGTGGTTGTGCGTTGGGCTGCTAACTCTAAGGTCAGTCGTTCAAAACCACCAGCCACTCCGCACGAGAACGACTAGGCTTTCTACTCCCATCCAGATCTAGAGTCTCAGAAACTCACAGGGCAGATCTACCCGGGCAGTGAGTTTAGTTTTTGATTTACCTTGGAGGCATGCACCGTGGATTCCATTCTCAATAGCCTCTCGGGAGACCTTCAAAAGGTCTTCACTGACATCTTCAGCATACTCAATAGTGGGTATAACAGATGATGTTTCAACTGGATTTGCCTCCAGTTCTACAGTCACAAGGTGCCGTTTGTCTCCTAAAGTTCTATCTAAGGTATCTGTAATCAAACAAAGTGGGTATCAGCGCCTCAGAGATTTGTTCCAGGAAGACAGCAGGGTGCCACCTCTTCAGAAGTCCCATCGGGACACCTGAGGTGGTCACAGAAGGCATGGCAGGAAAAAATACGAACAATGGCAGTGATTGTGGTATTCATAAGAGGAAAGCGCAGTTCTACAAAGATAGCAGCTACTTTCACGTTCATCAGTGTTAAAAATTTGCTTTGAGTGGCCTGCTAACACTACTGGACAGGCAGTCAGTCACTGGGTTACAAACATCAGACTGGCACTAAGTGTGTGTAAAGTGTGGCACTAAGTGTGTGTAAAGTGTTATATTAAAAATACTAAATATTCAGGGTCCATAACCATGATTCACAATAATGGTGCTACTGCTGTTTTGCAATGCACTCCAAAACATTACTATTATTATACTATTTTAAACATGTCTTTAGTGCATCTAGAAGTGTTTCTTTAATGTTTTCTATGCATAGTACACTATATACTATACCAGCGGTTCTCAACTTGTGGGTCGGGACCCCTTTGGGGGCCAACCGACCTTTTCACAGGGGTCGCCTGATTCATAACAGTAGCAAAATTACAGTTATGAAGTAGCAATGGAAATGAGATGTCACTCAAGACATCCAAAAGAAATGTGTCTTTTTGTTCAAATCAGAGATTATTTCAAAACCATGAAAAGATTTCTCAG